AAAAAAATAAAAATAATAAAAAAAAAAAAAGTAAGAAAAAAATGAAAAAAAAAAAAAGAATAAAACTAGCCCCCCCCCGTGCGTTTTTCAGAGGGGGGGGGGGGGGGCGCACTAATCGTCTTCCTCCTGCTCCTGCCCCTCCCCCCCCCTCCTCCTCCTAATCTTTTTTCTCATAACCCTCCTCCTCCTCGGGGGGGGGGGTGCCTCCCCCTTCTTCTCTTCGTCCTCCTCCTCCTCCTCCCCCTCCTACTCCTCCTCCTCTCCCTCCCCCTCCTCCTCGTCCTCCTCTCCCTCCCCCTTCTCCTCGTCCTCGTCCTCCTAACCTTGACGGCCTTGTGCATGGCCTCGGCCTGGTTGAGGGGAACGACTCGATCCTCAGCTCCTTGGAAGAAGGCGATCGGGCACTTGAGCTGCTCGACGTAGTTGATGGGGGAGCGCTTGCTGGAGGAAACGTGAGTTGGAGAAGATATCGAGAAAACGGAGGAGAAAGAGGACAACGAGGACGAAGAGGAGAGCAGGAGAGCAGGAGAGCAGGAGAGCAGGAGAGCAGGAGAGCAGGAGGAGGAGAGGAGGAGGAGAGGAGGAGAGGAGGAGGTCACCGGTACTCCTCCTTCATCTCCGGGTAGGGTCCAACGAGTGAGTCGAGGTAGCGACTCTCAAACTTGTGCGTGTCGCTCGCGAGCGTCTCGAGGTCTCCGATGCCGTAGCTGGAGCAGCCAGCCTGGTCGTCGTCAGGCGTACAAGAGGCAGAGGGAGAGGAAGGAGGAGCAGGAGCAAGAGGGGGAGGGAGAAGGGGGCGAAGGGAGGAGCAGGAGCAGGAGCAGGAGCAGGAGCAGGAGCGAGGAGTGGTTAGGAAGAGGAGCAGCGAGGAAGAAACAGTATCTACCTTGAAAGTATCCTTGAAGGTCAAGCAGCAGAGGGTGGTGTATCCGCCAGCACTGGATCATACCCTGATCAGACTCTCCTCCCCTCCTCCACCACCTAAGACACTCCCTCCTGCCTCCTGCCTCCTGCCTCCTGCCTCCTGCCTCCTATCTCCTACTCCTCCCTCCCTCCTTTACCTTCCTCCATCAATGGCCATCTTGCTGCCGTCAACGAGTCCTTGCTGCTCAAGGAACTTGGCGGCGCTGGTGGAAACAGAGTGAGAAGGCGAAGAGGAGGAGAGAAGGACTGGAAAAGGAAGCCAAGAGCAAGGCAAGGATGAGGAGGAGGAGGAGCGAGCGATGTACATGGGAGGAGGAGGTAGCAGAGGAGTGGAGAACAAGTGAAGCGCAAGCAGGCAAGAAGGAAGTGAAGGGAGGAAGGAAGAAGGGAGAAGATGCTGTGCGGGGAAGGAGGAGGGAGGAAGGAGAGATAGGAGCAGGGAAGAGGAGGAGAGAGGTCAGGAGCATGGCACACCTGCAGCAGTCTTCTACATCATAGATTCCCCAATTCCCCTTGAGCCTCTCACGGTATTTCCTGCCGTACCCCGAGGACCCGGAGTAGTCCACATCTGCTACGGCATAGCCCCTGCTGGTCCAGAACTGAAGGAGGATGAGAGACAAGACGAGCAAGAGGAAGGAGGAGGGTGTGGAGGGAAACATGAGCGTAGGACGATCACCGGAGGGTGGAGAGGAGGAGGGGGGCAAGGGAACAATAAAGCAGCAAGAAGAGGATGAGAGTGGAGGAGGAGGAGGAGGAGGAGGAGGAGGAATTAGGAGGAATTAGGAGGAAGAGTTAGGAGGAGTTAGGAGGAGGAGGAGCACCTGAATCCCGAGGTTGAAGGCTGTTGATGCGGCTGCTGTGGGACCCCCGTGGCTCTTGACCTGTCGGCAGCGACTCAGCGGCTGCTCGCCCGCCGCCGCCTCGAGTACCAGGAGGGGAGGAAGAGAACCGGAGGGACCGACGAACTTGGCGTTCTGAAAGAAGCTGAGAGAGAGGAGAGGAGATGGAGAGGAGAGGAGAGTA